TAGGGCTTGGACTTCCGAATAACATGATGCTAGGGGTTTTTGGTTGAGAACCCTAAACCCTAAACCCTAAACCCTAAACCCGAGGGTTCAGGGTCTAAGACTTCCGAAGACAGCTCCACTAACAGAGTCCTCGCAGAAATCCCCGGCCTATTTAGCAGGTTCTTCTGCTTTGCTTGCAAGAGGTCCATCGTCGACTCCCAACTCACCCATCGCCTCAATAGCGGAGAGGGAGCGGTAAACCCAAAAATCCTCGAGTTTAGCCCCAAAGCCAAAAGCCTATATTATACCCTAAACCCTAAACCCTAAACCCTTATTAAGGGACCCTGAGCCCTAAACAACTGTCGTAAGTACCCGTCAAAAAGCAGCCCAATAAAGCCCTGAGGGGAACCTGCTGAGGTGCCCTAAACTACTGGGTTTAGGGTTTAGGGTTTAGGGTTTAGGGTTTAGGGTTTAGGGTAATGTAGGAACCTGGTTCAGAAACCTTGGTCGTACAACCCCCCCAAAATATGAGGATTCGAAACCCTAAGCCCTCATAAAGACTCAAGGCTTAGGCTTCTCCATCAGGCTTCAATATTCGCCATATGGGGCCTTAATTTAAGAACGAATTGAATTTGTATCAGCTAAAAGAGTTCATGCTCAAGAGCTTACGGTGGGCCTGGGGGGGAAGGGCCCCCAAAGAACGGTTTAGGGTTTAGGGTATAGGGTTTTTATGAGGTCTGTTCAGAGGGTTTAGCACAGGGCTTCAAGGGTCTGGTAAAGACCAGATAATTACGGTTTACCTCTTGGGTAGATGGAGCTTGTTAGGCAGGCGTTTCGCTGTCCGAAACTAACTATTACGTAACCCTCCCAGACCGATTCAATCCTGAACCCCAAAGCCCTGTTGACCCCTTACCGCTTGAAGGAACCCTGAGGGGTAAGCCGGCAAACTTCACGGTACCTTGTAGGGAACAAAGGACCGTTCAATTAACCCAGAAAGGCGCCCTTTAAGGAACCTCTTGAAGGAGCCGTTGCAGGTATAGTCGTACCCTTGGAGGAACCCATACATGCACCCTTGAAGGGAACCCTGGGAACCCTCACGAAGAAGCAAACAACATCAAAAAACCTAAAACCCTAAAACCATGGGTCTGGGGTTTAGGGTTCAGGGATTAGGGTTTAGGGTTCATACCATGACGTGGCATCGCACGAGCCAAGGGCGCTGAGCGCCCAGCCACACGCAGGCCTGGCACGTCAAATTAAATGAGGCCGTGGGCCTACCATGGGTTCTGATTACATAACGGCTTCGGGATTAAGGTAGGGCTTGTTGTTTGGAGCTTAGGGTGTGGATTTGGGGTATAGGGTTAGGAACAAAAGTCTAGTTATCCGGATTGCGAGGGCGAAGGTACGGAAGAACCTTGACGAGGACCCGGGCAAGTAATGGCTAAGATCGAACAACTGGTTCCCTATATAAGCCCAAACCCAACGTACGCATGTACATGTATATATGTACAGCTTAAAAATGAAATATTCATATACACATACATACGCACACATATATGTATACACCTATGTCTCTAGATGTAGAGTGCTCATGAATCACATAGTTAGAAAGCTCGATCTACTTATGCACCTTCTGACTCGACTGAGCCATTCCAGGTACTCACGGTTTGGGGCTTGTGGGCTTTAGGGATTTAGGGTTAAGGGGTATAGGGTTTAGGCCTCGAATTAATGTCTAGGGTTTAGGGTGGGTTTAGGGGCCTTCGGCATTAGAAGCTGCACAGCAAAGGATGAATGGCGGACGTATCTACAACATCAGCGAGTCTTCAGCAACATGTTGCATCAACCGACGCCTTCATAAATGAATGATGGAAGTACTGTTATATGGGATTCCGGACCTTTTAACCTCAAAATGCAGCTCAGCAACGCACTAAGCATGGGTGTGTGGTGTAATGGTTTCGACTCTATGGTCTACTAGGAGTCTCGACAAAATTGCTATACAGGTTTGGAAATTAGGAACTAGGATTGTAAAACTCACGACATGCAGAACAAACACCTAAGCTCTGCAGAATTCTCCGATACAAGACGGGTTGTGAGACGATCAGAAACCCTGAAGTACACACTCTGCATAGCTTGGGGGCATTGAAACCCTAACAGCGAGACTCCGAAGCCCTAAACTCTAAACAGACCCGAAGCCAAAGCTTAAAACCCCCAAACCTGGAGGCCCCAAACCGTAAAGCCCCAATACTTCAGGAACCCTTCCAAGCGTTGTAAACTGCAGTACAAGCCCATGGTTAGACAGAGAGACTTCTCTATATGCATATATAGATATGTATATATATATATGTGTATATATATATATATGTGTGTATATGTGTATGTATGTGTATATATATATATATTTATATATATATATATATATGTCTGAATGTGTGCATGCATGCATGCATGCAT